TTATTTTGTCACAATTTAGCTTCGTATAAAATATCTTCGTCTTAAACGATTTTTGATTATCGATTAACCAATCGTATCACAGGATGATCTTCAAAAATCAGCCAATCACAATGAAAGCCCGCTATGCTAACGTGAATTATAATTTATGTAATTTATATACTAATGCTACTAAAATCACTAAATTAATTGAATCGGCCGAAAATTATTCGGCTAATTTTGGAGTATTAACGTTGCAACAGTTTCTTAGAATTATGGTTGTGTAATGTAATTTGGTATAGTGTAAAATATTAGGAATTTGAGCAAATATAGAATTAGACGTAGAATTAGATAGAATTAGTGAAATTTAACATACATAGATTATTGGGATTTTAGTAAATAAATAAAAAAATAAATACTATTAAATAATAATAATCTTGATTTAAATTAATAAATACATACTTACAGTAATTATTTAACGGTAACATTAAGCGGCATTTATTTTGGACTTTAACAATAAATTTTAATTTAAATTTCGATTGTTTTTTCATTTTATAAAAGTTTACAATTTTATTGGTTAATCAACACATGATATTTATCATGTGATTAAATTTAAAATTTTATTGGCTAAACCTAATATGCATGATCAGGATACATAATTTATACAGTTTAGAGTGCTTTTTTAAAAAAACGAAAACTAATTATAATGAACAAAAAAAAACTGTATAGAAGGTCTCATTAGAGCTGTGGGACTCTATAGCCGATCTAATTCTCGTCCGTTTAAAAAAATTAGCTTAGTAATAAATTGATTTTATCGGGTTCGAGAAGTTATTACTATACTAACTTTGTAAAACGGACAAGAATTATATATCATTTTTGGCCATGGAGTTCTACAGCTCTAATGAAACCTTGTATGCAGCTTTTTTTTTTTTGTTTCATTATGATTAGTTTTGTTTTTTTTAAAAAGTACTCTAAACTATATAAAAATGTAAAATTAAATTGAATTTCTTTGCCAATTAGACAAACTTCTGCCTATGATTGGGACGGTCTTACTTGTAGTTACTGGCTATAGCCGACTATAATCGATCAGTGTGCATAAACAGTTCGACACGTATCAGCTCGAAAATATGTAAACAAGCAGCGTGGACAAATTGATTTTCAGTGATCTACTCAATTTAATAAATAATTTTTTTATGTGCTTTAAAGTACTTTTTATACTTGTGATTTTAAAACTTATCCAATTAAACCCGTTAAAAAAAATTAGCAACGGAAAGAGCCTTCGAATACCTATAGTCTGTTAAAATTAATCAAAAATAATCACAATACTTAAAAAGTTTTAAAAAAGACGAATTTTATAGGAGATCATAGGTCATTGATTTTATAATTCGTGATGACGAATGTATTTTAGTGTTAAAATCAAAAAACAAAAACACGTAACTAAGATCTAATATTTTATAGAGAATCTTTTATATAAAAAACGAAGTAAAAGGATAAGTTAACTAGTTTTATATTATGAAATTAAAAAATTATATAATAAATAATAAATCAATTTATAAATTAAATTTTACTTACTTATTTTCAATGATAAAATTTTTAATTCTAGAATAAAACAATCTAGAAGTTATTAAAAAGAATATATTTATCAAGTAGATTAATTGGAAATAATTATAATTCGCCAAACCAAATTTTTATTAGAATAATATAAGAAAAAATAAAGATTATATGATCGTTAAAATTTCACTATATACTGGATTATATTTGATAATTTTATTATATTTGATAGTTTTTATACCATTAGATTCATCTCGATGAGATGAATCAAAGGGTATAAAAATTATTAAATTCTGAGTATTGGTTCGTGAGATATCTTTAAGTAAATAAATCTTTTAAAATACGTATTTTTATTATCATATCATAAAAATTGATTGGTCGATTATCACATGCACAAATGTAACTAATTATAATAATTCATGTGATCAACAAATCCAGTCACTAATTTCAAATTCACCGTAAACATGATATTTAATTGGCCCGATATCACATGTCGGCTAGCCGGTGACACGAGCGAAACGGCGAGTCAGTCGCTTGACGAATGGATATGTCGTGCAACCTACGAACGGCTTAGTCGATAAGAGGCGATTAGATTTGGAGAGTGGTGTGTTTATAATCGTAGGTTTACAATAGATGAAACAGGGAATTATTAGAAGCGAATTTTATGATAAGCACAACCTCTCTTCTTATATATTATTCTATTACATATGCGTTCTTTAAGGTGTTAAACATATTAAACCTATTAAACATATTATCCCTATTATCCCTCATATACCCCTGCAATGTCCTTTATTACTTAAAACCCGTATTTCTTATATAACCCGTTAATCATCGTTTGCATCTATTTCCCTTATTGTCCTTATTCCCTCTATCAGTTGTAAACGACTTTTAGGACCGATAATCCCAGGAAGCCCATATTAAGTAGGTGATCGACATACCCTTCGATTACCTCCTTCCGGGATCACGTTTCCACAGCTCACACAGGTCAGCTAAGCCGCTCTAGTCGACTATTATCGACTACGGCTATAGTCGGTCAGCTAGCCGACTATAACCTAACAGAACCCATCCCTACCTATCACTCTACTGAAATTGATTATTTAAGAAATTTTTTTTCAATGAGATACTAGTTTATGCATTATCTTAACATAGAAATTGGGGTTTGCACCGTACGTACATATTAGGAAAAAAATTAGCGTTGTGAGACCAGAGAAGCTCAATAGGATACTTATCATTGACATTCGGGCCAATTCACCCAGTGTGCAACATATAAAACAAATATTTGCTCATTCCGCTAGTACATGTTATGATTATAATCCAACACCATTTTTATTATAATAAAATGGTGTTGAATTATAATCATAAAATATACTATCGGTATTGTAAAATCATTTTTTTATATGTTGCACATCAGGTGAAGGATCAGTCGTGTAATATCGACGTTTTCTCCTGTTATTTGGGCCTCCATTGACCTTTTTTCTCAATGAATACTAAAATTAAACTTTACCAGCACGCAATAACATGACGTTAGAAATTACGAGTTGGACAGAAACGGATTTGTGCAAAAAAAGAGGACTAAGCAGTAGAGTAAAATAACGCTTTATAATAATGTATACAAATAATAAGAAAATTTTACTATAAATAAGTATCATTTTGGCACTTGGGAAAAACAATAATTGCTTTGCTTGTATAATAAAGTCTTAAAGCTCACAAATATTCTTTATTAAGAATACAAATTGTATATTGATCACATCTATAACTGTCCTAAACGAAATCTAATACGTTTTTGTCGTCCCACTTAACCCTAAAAAATTAGTTTACCATTTTTTTAGCTACTACTGTAATCTTATTATTTGAATACATATAATGATCATGAAACATATTTTAAGCTTTTTATTGATCTTAATAATTTCGATTGTTTATAAGTCTGTCGTAGTGAACATAAATCAACATCTTGTGGCTCGTTCTGCAATACCAATTGTCGATAAAACTTGGGAAAATTGGAATGGTGCAATTAAAATTACACCAGATGCAATTTTTAAACCATCTACACTTGAAGATCTTATTTATATCGTAAAGCTAGCAAACACAAATAATAAAACCATTCGATGTATTGCCCAAGGGCATTCTGTAAGTTTACTGTCTGTCACAAAACACTATCTGGTGGTAGTTACAAGTTTAAATCGGATCACTATACAAGAACATCCAAAATATGGTTGGACTGTTACTGCTGAAGCTGGTAAATTTTTATCACCTTATACTCATTCTTGATAAAGAATGATATGTAAGAATAACTTATTATAATTTAATTAAAATTAGGTACATCATTTGCTGATCTTGATGAAGCACTCCGAAATCATAAACCTTCATTAACTCTTAATTCTGAGACTGTTTATAACACCTTTCGAGTATCTGGTGTTTTAGCAGTAGGTGCACATGGTGCAAAGACTACTTCAGGCATTATGGCTGACCAACTTATCTCAATGAAAATCGTCATTGGTTCTGGTGACGTATGTGAATTTAGTGAAGAAATAAACAAATCAGAATTTGTTGCTGCGAAAGTCAGCTTAGGTAACCATTAAACTTTCAATTTTTTTTTTTGATTATTCGCTTTTTTTTCATTATTTAATTTTATTGTTTAGGTTTACTTGGTATAATCTATTCTGCAACTTTTCGTGTACAACCTATGTACAATCTTCGTATGAATGACAATTATATTCCAGTAAACGTATGGCTTAATCCACAAACTATTAAAAATCTTTTAGATTCATCTGATGGTATTGAAATATTTTATTGGCCATTTAATGGATTCATTCAAAGTGATCCAAAACCTCTTGACCCTAATAGAGATTTACTTTGGGTCAAGAATTGGGTAAAAACTGATGAAGTTGTGAGTTTCACGCAACAACAAATCAAACAATTACGTGAAGTCCAATCACAAGGTCTTATTCACCAGTATCAGATCATAAGTAGTATTTTACAAACTCCTGAAGCAACTCCGAACGTTACCACCTCGATATGGAATGCTTTTGTCAGTGCTGGCAATACTAGTTTTGTATTTCAGGCTCCTGATGCTTTCCATTACATATCTAGCGAAGAAAGTATCAAGTTTGAACTGATAGAATTTGGTTTCAAAATTGATCCGGATTATTCCAACGTTGCTGATGCATTTTCTTTCCTAATCCAAACTGTAAGTTTATTACTATATCTAATATTCAATTAGTTGATTTTTTAGAGTAATTTTATTATTTTTGTAGATGTATGAATTTGCAGCACAAGGAAAATTTCCACTAAATTATATTGCAGAGTTTAGAATTATAAAATCATCTAATGCATTATTATCTACTACATTTGATCACGATCCAAAAGCATTATATTGTCAATTAGATATTGAGGCAGCTCTTGATACTCCAAGCTGGAAAGAATTTGCGGAAACAATTGCGCAAAGATTTTTCGATAAGTACAGAGCAAAGTATGAAATCATTAATTTTTTTCTTTGTAATGAATTGAATCAATTCATTAATTATATAAATTCATTTTTGTAGAGTTCATTGGGGAAAAGGATTTGAATTTTTGCCTAATGTTATACCTTATCTTTCTGATGTCTTATCAGATCAAATTAAACAATTTGAGAAAGTACGTGAAAAGTATGACCCTGATAAGATTTTCTTTGAAAATCAGGCATTGCAGAATATATTTAATTATGTTTTGGATTCATAAAATAATAAAGGTTCAAAGAAAATGAATAATTAATGACAATGTTAAGATTAAATTAATTATTATAAAGCATAAAAGAAAATTTTTGTTAATATAGATTATAATATTATATTCAGATAGATATAAAATATATTAATATACTGTCAACTAGAGATGGGAGCGCAGATACCGCGCGGGATTTTTAATATGATCCCACAATAAAATATCTGGCCGGCCTTATCATATAATCTGGCTAGCATTAATATATGGCCTGCATTGACATATTTAGCTAATTCCAAATTGGAATTTATTTATTTATTTTCATACCATTTCACATATGTATATATATATTTGATAAGAATTTGCCTTTTTGCCATTGGTATCCTTTGTTTACGTACCAAATTTCTTTGTTATAATAAATAAATATAAATATTATTAAGTTATTCTTTTTAAAAATAAATATAACATGCATGGTAATCATTATATTTGAAATCGGTTAACAAAAATTAGACCAGATGAAACTTTAAGCAAGGAAATGCTCAATGTAATTACTGCGATCTTGCCGCACAAGAAATTCACTATTTGATCAATGATCAAAAATTTAGGCAAAATTACTAATGAAATCGTGGCCACTCATTAAGTGAAAATTAGGACTGGAAATTACCATAATTTGTAAGAAACATGACCATTCTATCATATGATTCAATGTGATTACCTTGATCATATGCGCATCGATTTGATCAATAAACTATATTGAAGTTCAATAATGCTAGCTAAATTTTTCATAGTACTGGTACTATATATCACGTGAATTTACATAGGTGAAATTACATGCATTGTAAATTTGTAAAATGTAATTTTCAACCTAAGAGAATTATGTTCCTGGGTTAATTTTACCATTACACAGACCCAAACCTTAAAAATTTCTATTTTTGCAATTAAAAAAATCAAATTCCGGCTACAATTACGTATAATGCAGACCAAAATTTTGTTTCCCTTCGTCTGTAGGCCAATCCGGGCAAATTTGCCTCTAATTTTTTTAAAAATTTACATATATTTACAGTATATTTTATAAAAAAATAAAATAACTTAATTTTTTTATATTTAATATATTTAACTACAAACTACATAAAATTATTTTTATTTAATTTATTATATATAAAATATTTTTATTTCTATATATAGTTAATAAGTAATATTTTTAAAAATTTTGCAAAATTTAAAAAATTTAAAACTAATTTAAAAAAAAATTACTATAAAATTTAAACTTTTGACTAGATATTATATAGCAAAATTCAAAAAGCTAGTTATAATAAATAAAATTATAAATATATTTTTATAAATTAATTTAAAATTTTATATTTATTAGTAATATAATTGATGGATTGTTTAGAAATATATCAATAACTAGTCAAAAAAAACATTGTAGTAATCCAGCTGTTACTCATGACCTATTGCTCAGAATTAAATGAATTTTATATTATTCAATTTCTCTCAACAAGATGAATCAAATGATATAAAAATTGTTCAATTTTAAACACTAAATTATAAAATATTGGCATTTAAAAAAATTAAAATTTCTTGTAAAATTTTTAAAAAAGTTTACTTAGTAACAAATATCTTATAATCCAGTAATCAGATTTAAGCAATTTTTATACTATTCAATTCACCTCAATAAGAGAATTAAATTGTATAAAAATTGCTTGATTCTAAAACAATTTGGCCTTGCTTTAGAGCAACAAAGAGGTACATTACATTTAATACACTAAAATTGATTTTGAAAGATCACAGCTGACTTAGTTTTTTTATTACTTTTATTATTTTTTGCCAAGTAGTAACAATATATGCATAATTCTTTTTTGCCTTTATTCTATTAAATGATCTTCAGATTGCAACTGAGTTGGAAGTAATTTAAATTTTTTTGTAATATAAGCAGTTTGTTTTCATTTTGGAGATGATTTAGAAGAGTTTTTATAACTGAATCATTTTTCTTTTTCTTAATTTCATCATTAAGAACTTTATTAATCAAGTTTCAAATAAGAATAATCCTAAAATCTTTATGTGTAATACATGTATTTATAGTTTTGATATAAAGAATATAATAATTAATAAGGATAGAATCCAATAACCAAAAAAATAAAGAGAACCAAATATAAAAAGATGTTAATTGACAATTGTAATAATTTCAAAACTAATTTGCAATATCAATTCCACCTATATACTTATTATAATTATCAATTAATCATGAAATTGCTAATTCTTCTTTTGACAAATTTCCAAAAACTTGTTATACTTTTTTTGCATTAGTATTTGTCTTATATGAGTAATATTGATTACTAACAATTTTTGATTTATTACTAATAATATTATAAATTGTTGTAAGCATAGTTACTGAACCATTATTAACTCACAATACAACTAATATATTATCAGTAACTATACTATAAAGAGTATTCTAGTTTAAAGTAGTTTTTAGAAGATCTACTTGAATTAATATAAACTGTGTCACATACACCTAGATTATTATTACAGAAGTGTTTTTTTCTAAAATAGAATACTTAAAAAATAGTTATCTATGTAAATATAAAAAGTTTTTTTTTAGAAATTGATTTGCTAAATTCTAAACTATGCACCTCACTTCATTAATGCTTTTAATATATTCTAATTATAAATTTTTATCAACTTGTAAGCTAAAAAAAAAGAACTAAATATAATTCATATTGCAAAGTAAAAAAAATTTATAAACCTGTGGTGTCAGTTTTTTTTATTTTAAATATATGCATGCTTCAACCCAAATCACATGATTATTTTATTTATAAAACTTGTATATGAGAAACATACAAGTTTTTAAGAATTTCTTTAAGATGTAATAATAAGAGGTCTACCTTTAAATATTAGAAAGATTGAAACTTAGTTAAATCTGAATATAAAAAAATCTTTTTAATTACTAAAATCTGTACAAAGACATAAACTTCTTAATACTATGAATTGGGTTTTTTTCTTCTGAATTTCATAAATCTTCTATTGCATAGACTTTATGAACTCCTATATAAATAACTAATATGATCCAAATTCTTAATTCTTTCAAAGTCAATAGACTTCAAGCTCAATCACCTTTAAGATCTTTTAATTGCTCATATTTATTTGTATTTTTAATAATAATTTGTAATTGTTGATTGGTAAAATACAGCTAAAATAGAATAAATAGACTAACAATGACTTGTTGTATTTTATAAGATAATGTTACATAACTTTCATGATATTTTTGAGAATTTTGCATAGATTTAAAATTGGTAGATTAGAAACATTAAATGTCTCATTTTTATTTTTATTTATATATTTAGTTTCTATATTAATTGCTTTTTGTTTCTCTGCTCATCCTTTCTATTTTTTTTATTTTTTTGGTTTTTTTTCTATTTTTGTCTTTCTGGCCTTCCTGACTTTTCTGATAACAAGAATAGAATCACTATTCAAAAAAATTTTGAAGATCACATGAACTATAATTATCATGCAATACTACAGTATTAAATGTCCATTTGTTTGTTATTTATATATTTATTTTAATATATATAAATATATAAATTTATTTCTTTTTTTCAAATAATGAAGTGTGATTATTGTAACTATAACAAACCAAATGAAGCTTTTGAAAGTTCTAAAGCTAATAAACAAAAAATTTCAATAATAAGTTTAAGAAAACATTTGTTAATTGTTATATTTAAGTTTCTGCAAACAATAAATAAAAATATATTAAAATTAAAATGAAAATATAGCAATAAATCAAGAAAATGCAATAGTGCCAGAAGGCATTGTAGATTTAATTTTTAATAATCTTCCAAGTGATTATAATATGAATGATTATTTATTTGAAAAAAGACTTTTTATTGTCATAAAACTATTAATAGATATTGTTAATTTAACTTCTAATAATTATATAAATAAAGATATTGTACAACATATAATCAAGCTTATTTTAAAGACTAATAATTTTTCTGGATCTATTATAAATGCAATATAACAAAAAAAATCAACTACATTTGTTTATTATTGAAGAATTAAAAAGTAAAAAGTCATAAATTGCTGAAATATTAAGTAGATGAAACATATTGGCAAGAATTAATTGATATACACATGGTGATATAATTTAGATAAATATAGATTGATCTTGTAATTTGGTAATAGTAGGTATCTATTATTATATTTATTCATCACCTGAAGCAATGAAAGTTTCTTCTCAAATCTATAATTTTATTATTAATAATAGCCAATTAACAGTACTACAACTTTACAATAATATTAAAGAGCAACAACTTGATAGATTTTTATATATTACCTGACATCAAGTTTATTATTAGTTCAAAAAAATTATAATAAAAAAATATATGTTTGCCAATAATTAATTAGCATCAGCTAGACAATATTTGGAAAACAATTATCAGTTTAAAATTCTTTTTCAAGACCAAAACTTATTGTTTTTTTAACCTCCTTGCTATTCATATTGCTAATTAAAGTTACAAAGAAAATTATAGTTAATGCTATATATGGTACATACTATTTAAAATTTGAGCAATATGCTGTTATTAGAATTATTGATGGTTCTGAATTTCTCATATCATATTTTTTTCTTAAACCAAAATATAGTAAAATACAAGCAATTACAAGATAGTTTTAATATTTAAAGAAAAATGAAATTCAAAATGTTAAAACTATTTTAATGAATAAAGATTATGAACAAATAATAGCTACTAATAGAATTTGAACTAAAGAAGGATTCAACTGTGTTAATGACACATAATACATGCAATAAAAAAAATCTTTAAATATTAGTATTATATATAATCACTATAATGCTTATAAGGCAAATTTATTTTGTTCAATTATAAATCTTAAATAGCAACCAGTTCAGGAACAATTTAATAATAAAACAAAAATCTTTTGCCAAAAGAACTTTTGTGAAATAATACTTCAAATAGTTTATATTTATTTTTTGTAGCATTTACTAATATCTGTAGAATGTTTACCAA